CCCCCCCACCCCCTAATCATTTTTGTTCTTTTCTTACATTTCTTCCTCTTCTTCTCTTGCTCTATATTCTCATTTCTCCCTCCCTGTGATATTATACAATTACAGACAATTTGGAATCAGTAGCGGCAATTACTTCTACAGGTGGTAGTTTTGATCATATAACAGCGGCCTGGCTGAATTCGCATCACAAGAGCGAGAGGGAGAAAATAGAAAATCGAAAGTGACAGGCATGGAATTGTCGACAGAAATTAAGAGACAGGTTGCGTGAAACACGATGGGTTGTTCTTAGAGCCTGCATTGGAGAAGGAAACAGGACGGAAGTAAGGGTGGGCGCGGTGTAAGAAAAATACTGATCTAAAAGGAATCATGTCCGGAGACAGACAGGCACACATACATATGGACACACATATACAGACACACACATACAAATACACACAAGCACACGCACGGAGAAAGAGGGAGAGAGATAGGGAGAAAGAGAGAGAGAGAGAGGGGGGAGAGAGAGAGAGAGAGAGAGAGAGAGAAAGAGAGAGAGAAAGAGAGAGAGAAAGAGAGAGAGAAAATAATATTCATTTGATGTTTTATGGAGAGTTAAGAAATAAAGATGGTTCTGAAACGACACGGTAAACAAATAAAACACGAAGGTGTTGGTGCTGGTACTTTGGTATAGGCGTCGTTTCGGTCTCATTTCGTCGAGTTAGTATAAAGAGTGTTTGTTGTAATATTTAATTGGAACGCTTGGAGGTTGGGGTTGAGCGTCTCTATTTCTTCGATTTTTGTGTTGTTACATGTTTATGGATTCCAAGTTTCAACTGAAAGCTACGATTACCCAATATAGTTTTCAAAGGCCAGGCACGACCAAAACATTCGGTTTGGGTTCGAAATAAATAGATCAGACATAAGAGATAAAAGCAATGTTTGTCGAAGTGGACAGAAGGCACAGTGGGGTTCAAAAGAATATTCTTTATCCATATTAACAACTCTCTTTTAGAGTTTAACCTGTGAATTTCTATGGTCCTAACGGCGTGTTAACGCTATGACAAGTGAGCCGAGGACGAAACAAAAAGAATAATAAACATCAGGCGACTTCAGAGCTATAGGTACCACTACTGTTTTGCGTTATTTCCACAGAAAGAAGAAAATCATGCACTATCGGTTACTACTGAAATTTATAGAGCCAATCCGTTTTTTTAAGAGGAGAGAAACACGTGCAGGTGGTTGGCGGGTTCTCTGGTGTGGTTTGCTCTTTCTTTCCTGTAAAAAATCTATCGTCTCTATCTCCCCTCCTTCTTTTTTGTGTTTGTTACTCTCTTGTAACACCTCTAATCTTTTGGCACTCTTATGACCTTATGAAGCTGCGAGCGCCGTATAACCTCTACTAAAACAAAACAAAAACAGAAACAGGCAAAAGTCTTCGTAAATAAACGATTCCCACTTTGTATCATGGGCGCAAGATCTTCCTATGTCTACAAAACTCAACCCCCCCCCCTCCTTGTTCGGAAACAAAAACTCCAGCTTCTTATACTCAACCAGCTCAGGAGCTAACATTCCGAGAGCCCCACCGTCAGATTGACCCTTTGTATCTCGAGGCCAGCCCCCCGCTCAGGGCACGGGCAAGGACATCAAGAGGTCAAAGGGGTGATTCCTCTCATCGATTTTTGGACACGTATAACGATGCACAGCTTCCAGCATTAACCCCTTACACTGGCCAAACCGAAAATCAGGGAATCAATTAACCCTACTTTCTACCTTCATCGGTACCTTCTCTCAAATTAAGTCGGCAACGATTGTGGATATTAGAACGGGCCAAGTTCAGGACCGTCGAGATAGGAAAAGGCCCGAAAGCCTGAAGGCGTAAAGTCACCCAGAGCCGAGAGCTCCCATCTACAACAAGAATAGAGGGCAGATAGAACTGTTCAGCTCGGGGGAAGCGGCAGCGTGCTGGTCAATCTAATGTGGGAGAGGATCGCGGCAATGATGACCTCTCGCAGTTGTGGGCGGAAATTAAGTCCTTCAAGACAATTGCTGCCAATTGGGAGCCTCGAGCTTCCCTGTCCTACTCTCGGAGGAAGCTCAACACGGCTAGACAAAGTAGCAAAATACTACATAGAGGCGAGTTTCGGCCAGGCATTGTTTTGTAAAAAAACCCATTGTAGTTTTACTAAGAATGTGAATGATATCAAAATAATGAGGCATGTAATGCGATGTGTGTTTTCAACAAAAAAAGCACAGCAAATATGGAATGTGGGTGTGCACACAACGTGAAAATATATGTGATGTGTGTGTGTGTGTGTCTGTGTGTGTGTGTGTGTGTGTGTGTGTGTGTGTGTGTGTGTGTGTGTGTGT